CTGAAAGCTGCTCAAAACGCCCGGTGCTGCCCCAAAATGAGGCTTCACCCCTGGTTAGTACTGGCGTGAATCGTGGCTCAAAATGTGGCACCCCAAAATGTGGCATCCCAGTGTCACACCAGTGCCACCGCAATGTCACCGCGGTCACCTCCCCGCTGGCACCAGAGCCACCCTGGTGGCACTGCAGGGCCTGCCTAAAGAACCCCCAAAACGCCCGGTGCTGCCCCAAAATGAGGCTTCACCCCTGGGCAGTGCTGGCGTGAATCGTGGCTCAAAATGTGGCACCCCAAAATGTGCCACCCCGAAATGTGTCACCCAGTGTCACCCAGTGCCACCCCAGTGCCACCCCAACCCTGTCATTACCTGGGGCAGAGTAGACGGTGCCGACGTCGAGCTGTGGGAACGGCAAAGGGAGCGGGAGTGCTCTGACAGCCCATTCCCAAAATCCCACTCCTGACACTCCATTCCCAATGCCCCAGTCCCAAAATCCCAATCCCAATCCCCCAATTCCCAATCCCCCATTCCCAATCCCCCAATTCCCAAACCCCAATCCCAAACCCCATTCCCAATCCCCATTCCCACTGCCCCACTCCTCACCTCGAAGGTGCCGATGACGGCTTTGGTGCAGATGTTTGGTGAACGGAGCACCTGGGACAGGGAAGGGGACACGGCTGTCCCTGTGTCCCTGTCCCCATGTCCCTGTCTCCGTCCCTGTGTCCCTGTCCCTGTGTTTTATCCCTGTGTCCCTATCCCTGTGTCCCTGTCCCTTGTCCCTGTGTCCCTGCTCCTGTCCCTGTGTCCCTGTGTCCTTATCTCTGTCCCTGTCCTTGTCCCTGTCCCTGTCCCTGTGTCCCTGTCCTTGTCCCTGTGTCCCTGTCCCTGTGTTTTATCCCTGTGTCCCTATCGCTGTGTCCCTGTCCCTGTGTCCTATTTCTGCGTCCCTGTCCCTGTCCCTGTGTCCCTGTCCCTGTGTCCCTTGTCCCTGCTCCTGTCCCTGTGTCTCTGTGTCCTTATCTCTGTCCCTGTCCCTGTCCCTGTCCCTGTCCCTGTCCCCGTGTCCCTGTGTCCCTGTCCCTGTCCCTGTGTTTTATCCCTGTGTTTTATCCCTGTGTCCCTGTCCTTGTCCCTGTGTCCCTGTCCCTGTGTTTTATCCCTGTGTCCCTATCGCTGTGTCCCTGTCCCTGTGTCCCTGTGTCCCTGTCCCTGTGTCCCTGTCCCTGTGTTTTATCCCTGTGTCCCTGTCCCTGTGTTTTATCCCTGTGTTTTATCCCTGTGTTTTATCCCTGTGTCCCTGTCCCTGTGTCCCTGTCCCTGTGTTTTATCCCTGTGTTTTATCCCTGTGTTTTATCCCTGTGTCCCTGTCCCTGTGTCCTATTTCTGCGTCCCTGTCCCTGTCCCCGGAGCCACCACTCGGTCCCACCTGGATGAGGATGGGCAGTGCCACCAGCTGCTCGGGCGTCAGGCGGAGATCCCGGCAGAACACCTGAAGACCGGGGCAGGGCCGGTGAGGCCGGGCCGCGGGCCGGCGCCGCGCCCGGTCCCCTCCGCGCTGTCACCTCGTTGAAGTAGGGGTTGTTCCCGCTGCGGCTGCGGCTGCGGAAGCTCTGCTTCCCGATCTGCACCCTCACCACGGGCTTGATGTCCTTGCCCCGCAGCTGCCGGGCCCTGAGCACCCGCACCCGCACCTGCGGGGTGCCACGGACGTCACCCCGCGGGTGCCCCCGCGCCCGTGGGTGCCCCCGCGCCCGTGGGTGCCGTACCTGGAAATCCTCTTTCCTCTCCGCAGGTGCCGCCGGCGGTGGCTCCGGGGCCACCTGGCCGTGCCCGGGGGTGACAGGGGGGACATCCCCGGCCGCGCCGTGCGGGTCGTGGTAGCAGCGGAGGGTGACGGTGCACTGCAAAGGGACAGCGACACGGGGACGGTGCCACCCCGGGGTGCTGCGGGGTGCTGCGGGGTGCTGCGGGGCGGGGGGCTCACCCCCGTGGGCCGTTCCCGGTGGTCCAGCAGCGGGATGTCCCTGACGACCATCGGCAGGCTGGGGTTGGCCACCAACTGGTCCAAGGCCACCGTGGTGGCACCCAGGTCCCTGTGGGAGCGGGGGACACGGTGAGGGCGGCCGTGGCCAGGGGGTGGCCGCAGGTGAGGGGTTGGCACTCACCCCGGGGGCAGCGGGCAGTCCCCGCGCCGCAGGCGCAGGCCCAGCGTGTCCGTGGCACTCAGGGGACACATGTCCAGCGGCCACACCAGCTCCTGAGGGGCGGGACACGGCTCAGGGGGGCGACCCGATGTCCCTGTGCCACCACGGGTCACCCCGGGGCCGCCTCACCTCGTTCCAGGCGAGGCTGCGCTCCTCGGGCATCACCTGGGTTCTCCTGGGGACGCCTGTGCGGGACAGGAGGGTGGTGGCACCTCGGGATGGGGACACCGGGGACCGGCCACGTGCACGGGCAGCGAGCGGGGCCCCAGCCCCGCGGTACCTCGGAAGCAGACGGACAGCAGGACGCCGGGACCGAAGCCGGTGGCGCCGGGAATGCGGGCGGCGACAACGTGGCAGCGCAGCATGGCCACGGAACGCTGGCACCGGCGGCGGAGCTGTCACCAGGGAGTGCCACCAGTGGGCCACCCCCGAGGTGCTGCCATCGGGGATGGCGGCAGGTTTGTCACCGAGGGGTGCCACCACCGTGCCACCCCCGAAGCTCCGTCACCGGCGGCAGGGCTGTCACCGAGGGGTGCCACCACCGTGCCACCCCCGAGGTTCGGGCACCGGCGGCAGGTTTGTCACCGAGGGGTGCCACCACCGTGCCACCCCCGAGGTTCGGGCACCGGCGGCAGGGCTGTCACCGAGGGGTGCCACCACCGTGCCACCCCCGAGGTTTCGGGCACCGGCGGCAGGTTTGTCACCGAGGGGTGCCACCGGCGGCAGGTTTGTCACCACCACCGTGCCAGCCCCGGGTGCCACCAGCCCTCCGGCGAGCAGCCCGGCGGTTGGCCCGCCGTGTCCCAGCGCCAACGGCGGGTGGCGGCGCGGGGACTGTCGCGAGGGCGGCCGCCACCGGTAAAGTGGCGGTGTCCCCGTGTCCCCACGCGGGACGCTCCGTGACCCCGCGGGAGCGCGCAGGGTCCTGCGCGGGGCAGGGTGAGCCTCCAGGGACACTGGAGTGTCCCTTCCCACGGGGACATTGCTGGGACGTCCCAGGGACGTTCCCGGGCACATCCCAGGGACATTCCCGGGCACATCCCAGGGACGTTCCCGGTTAGCGGGGGGCACATCCCAGGGCATTCCCGGGCACATCCCAGGGACAATCCCGGGTCCCCACGGGCACATCCCAGGGACGTTCCCGGGCACATCCCAGGGACATTCCCGGGTCCCCACGGGCACATCCCAAGGGCATTCCCGGGCACATCCCAGGGACGTTCCCGGGCACATCCCATGGACATTCCCGGGTCCCCACGGGCACATCCCAAGGGCATTCCCGGGCACATCCCAGGGAGAATCCCGGGTCCCCACGGGCACATCCCAGGGACGTTCCCGGGTCCCCACCGGCACATCCCAAGGGCATTCCCGGGCACATCCCAGGGACAATCCCGGGTCTCCACGGGCACATCCCAAGGACATTCCCGGGCACATCCCAAGGACATTCCCGGTTAGCGGGGGGCACATCCCAAGGACATTCCCGGTTAGCGGGGGGCACATCCCAGGGACGTTCCCGGGTCCCCACGGGCACATCCCAAGGACATTCCCGGGTCTCCACGGGCACATCCCAAGGACATTCCCGGGCACATCCCAAGGACATTCCCGGTTAGCGGGGGGCACATCCCAGGGACATTCCCGGGTCCCCACGGGCACATCCTGCGGTCCCGCGGGGGCGCGCCCGGCCCACGGAACACTGAGGGGAGGCGGGAGCGCGCCCCGCGCACGCGCGCTGAGGGGGGGGGGGAGGCGCGCGCCCCGCGCACGCGCGC